AGTTACACTTTTACTCATAGTCTCAAACCCAATAAATTTTTGAAGATATCAGTAAAAATCTACCAATACAATTTCTATGGAAATAAAAATATGAAACACGATCGATTGGCGTATACTGTCAAACTGAGGATTCTGTAACATATTGTATTTCGATTTATGAATTATAAAGCACTCGTAATGTATATTTGAGATGAAAGATATCAATTATCATATGTTACAATGAGTTTGAATAGAAAACCATAGACAAGTATCTTAAACTAGATTGTCTTTCATAATAATTTCGCTATGATCTCTCGTGAAGTTCATATTTTTCATTGGATGTATATTTAAATTTATAGAATATTTTCATGCTGATAAAAATAATAAATTTAAATATATATGGAGTTGCCCAATCTGGCCGGATACCCCATTTTGATACAGTCCTATTGTAAGGATAACACGTACTATTGTTCGGGTCATATGAGAGAGGATCCCAGATAACCCTGGATTGGCCTGAACAACACCATGTTGTATCCTTATAATAGCAGACAAAAGCTATCAGCTAACATGAAAAACTGGCAGCTTTTATCTGCTATTGTAAAGGTAAAACATGGTGTTGTTCAGGCCAATCCAGGGTTATCTGGGATCTTCTCTCATATGACCCGGACAATAGTACGTGTTATCCTTGCAATAGGACTGTATCAAAATGGGGTATCCGGTCAGACTGGGCAACCCCATATATATATACATAGATATAAATTATTTTCCATACGAATATCATAACCTTTCCTGACTACCATTTTCTTTGAATTTGGCGCTTTAAAACCTCTGAATAGTCATAATATAATAGTAGACATTTATGAATTTTGTCTCTTTATATTAATTAGATTTCTTTTACGTAATTCTATTCGATTCGCGAAAAATTTTCATCAATCCTAAAAGTATTTTGATCAGCAATCTCTCTTTTGTTACATGAAGGTTGTAATGACATATTGTCGGAATTAAGATTAGACTATCATTAAAAACTATATTTTTATTTCAAAACAACACTTTGACATTAAATTTGATTTATTATTAAGATAATTTATCGAATACTAATGCAAATCTTTAGTATGTTGATTTGTGTATCCTAGACTACATAGGATACAAATATGAATAAACTAATCTTTATTTATTTTAGTTTTATGGGTAAACTATTTATATTAAATATGTTAAATAGTAAATATACATATAAAATTATTGAATATTTATTTCGTAATAAAACTGATGAAGAGCATCTCGAATGTTTATGGAGTCTCTTATGTATGATTGGCCAAAAACTTGATGCTAAAAGTGCTGAAAAAGTATGATTATTTTAACAGAGTTATATTCGTTGAACTCTTGAGCCTGTTGTTTTTCTTTTCTTTTGTAGCCTGTACAAAAATTAAAGATGTATAGATACTATAGTGACTTAGACAATATTGTTAAAGAACAGAAAACATCAGCTCGTATTTGTCGAATGATTCGAGATCTTATTGAATTAAGACAAGTAAGTGAACTTCGAAATATGATAAATTATTGCTAAAATGAATTTCATATCATTAGATAGGTTCTAATAAGACTCGACAAAGTCTAAAATGATTTTTTAGTATAGGTTTGTCTTGTTTACTTGCTTATTTTAATAAAATTTTTAACAAAATACTGTTTCATTTTTGATCATCTGCAAAATCAATTTTCCTTTTCAAAAATTGTATAAATTAAGTTCTCAGTGTAAAACAAGTAAAAGTCTCTGATTGTCTGATATTTAATCATTGTGAAATATAAATAAAAAACAAATGGAGACAGCATGTATTTGACGCTGAAAGAGAGATTTATGTAGCTTTTGCAAAGGAGGATTTTCCATACCTGATAATATATGTATTTTCAAGTTCTACCTACAAAAGGGTGTGATCGTCACTGCAATCTATCATGATCTCTACGAAAGTGAAGCTCTCAGTTGAGATCTCAGTGGTACACACTAATGTTACATTTGTCATTAGATAATATATTTCATTCTGATGATCAAAAACTTAGAATCGCCTTTTTCCATTATATTAATGTTCTCAGAAAAAGAATTCTTGAAAAATTCAGTAAAACGTTTATAATCTAAGATGTAAGATAAATGCATAAAAATTTTCTTTGGCATGCTGTTGTATTTTTATAAACTTATCTTTAGAGTGATTTTTTACTCAATGAATTTTCCAATTAAATCTATTTTCTAATGAACATTTAATTAGACTGGATGGGTTGGTCATTGTGTTGAAACTGAATCAACAACAGCTAACGAACTTCATGAACAAGATTTTGAACAAAAACAACATAATATTGATAATGCTTTTAGTGGAAGTAGTCAACAACAGTATAATGATGAACGTGATAGTTGTAGTAGTGGAATTGAACAAAAAACAGATAGAAATGAAGATGATGTAGATAATTCTTTTAATGCTGATACTTTAACACAACTATATTCGAATGACAAAGAATATCAAGAACTACTGGTAAAAAAAATCTTTCATCGGAATTACTAGATGATTGAAATAATTAATTTCATTATGTCCACAGGCAATCAATTTAGCTGGTCAACATTCATGGGCAAAAGAACTTTTCATTGAAAAGAAATCTGAATAAGATTATTCATTGGTCGAACATCAAGCAAATCGGCTAATATCTCTTTCGAAAAGGTCTACTTTCAGCTTTTTCGAACAAATATATTTACATGATTGATTCTTCCTTCTATTCTTTAAAATACAAGCATAAGCAAGATTTTTGTAAATCACACACTGATGTAATTCATTTGAGTATGTGAGTATTGATGTAAGTATGAGTGTTTTCTTCTGCACACGCACAATCGCTCACATACTGATCATGGTTGACACATCGAACGAGATAGGAGAGGCAACCACGTTGTTGAGTGACCTTAAATACATCGTAATATTAGAATGAGAATTTCTTGAGATATATTGGCATCAACTGTTTAAACAATATCTGCTGTTCATCACCTAGTTTAATATTTTCATATCGTTTATCGTATTAGTTCTTGTAAACAAACTGCTGTTGGGTGACATTATGAGGAGTAAGGACTTTGGCTTGAGCTAAGAATCGTCGATGTTGAAGGTTATAGTAATTCATGGTAGTAAGATTGACAATTTGTTCGAATGCATCGAATAGATGTATCGGTACACAGCCAAACATTAGTTTGAATGATTCAATCTGGGACGATTCTTATTTACTGTTGTTGTATGCTAATGCAATTGACAGTAAAAGAAAACATCATTCGAGTCAGGTTGTCCTTACTTGATGTAAGTACAGTTTGATTCTGTACATGTCGAACTAAAGCGCTCGGTCAAGTCTTTTATTTGTAGATGGTACATATAAGCGGCAATGATTCAAGAAAAGCTTAGATGGACTTTGTGGAATATACCAAGAACTGGAAAACTTTAGAATGTCCGATTTCTTGTTTTTGTCACGATTTGTGTCCCTCGAAATTCTCATAATTGAGCAGCGCAAAATTTCGATGGGTGCCCATTTCTTCTGCTGACATATGGATTTATTTTTCAATTTCTTGAAATCTATTGAATTTTCAACCGTTCGACAACTTGTTTTCGACTACTCAACATAATCTTGAATGATAGAAACCCATCAAATCTCCCACTACTCTGCGAGAAGCAACTGATTGAATCCTTACTTACTGCTGCTTAGCCTATTACAAAATAGTCGAAATCTACAGAGTTTCCGTAATTTTTTCGATCACTGTATTGAAAAATACCTCTGCAAAAATTATATGATCGTAACTCTCAATGGTTCAGTTTTCTGGTATGCTCCAGTTTCATCAAAATCAAGTCTCCTAGAGATTACATAGTCATAATTATCGTGACTTCTCCAGCTGTATATATCACATCATTACATTGCGAAAAGTGTAGAGTATAGTGGTTTTCCTTTCTATGGTAATATGCAACCTTATCTATACTCAAAAATGACTTCCTAGTAATAGTTGCAAAAAGAGTATGACTACCCAATAAAATGATAGGAATGTGAAATTTTAGCAGAAATCTAGTTTCATTTTGTATAGTTTCCTGCAAATAAATGTCAATCACATCGATCGAGTTTCGTTTTTTGCGGACTTCTGCTGGTTGTTGAGTGAAGTTCCTGATAGAAGATCACTTTTCAATATATCTTGATTGAATAAATTGTTGGTTTGCAATCTATGTTTCTGGATGGTGCATGAAGTTTACCAAAATACTATCAGATCAAAAAAAAAAAGACATTAAAGAAAACTTCGTATTTCTCTAATATTTTAGGAATTCCAAGATCCTTTTTTAGACGTATACAACAACATTTAGTTGAACCTAACTGTTTGATAACGATATATCGATAAGTGGTTAGATCGCATTGCCGTGCTAATTAAAGGAGATATGTTGAGTTGAATATTGCACACCCATGCTGCTCAAAGAAAAACGATGAGCTGTTAAACGATCTGATTATTAATAGTCGATAGTGGATGACTTAATAGCATAAACAATGAAATATTATTATGGCATGTAGGTATACAGAGAACATTCAAAATCATAAAGCAACAAGAAAAAAGAATCAGTAGATTAAAGGTCGAGATAATAGTTCTGTCGAAATTTTTGTGTTTATATAAGAATATAAAAACTATTTAGTCTCTTTATAAGCAAGACTTGCTATTTTTCTTTTCGCGCAGCAGTCCATCTGAAGGGGTGTGGGTGTAGGTGTGCGGTAGGGTGTGGGGTGTGGGAGGGTGTGGGTAAGGGTGAGAACCAGAGTAAAACTCACATTCACATCCACACTCACAACCACCTCACACCCATCCCACACCCACACCCCACACCTACACCCACAAACCCACCCTTGTCAGAAATATAAACCTCTTAACATATTGCTGTAGATTATTGCATGTTGTATTGTTAAATTTTAAGTTCGTCCCCATGTAACCGCTGCCAAGAGTACCAATAAACTGTAATATCCAAAAAATAGTTTACTCTTATTCATTTTTCTTCAAGTTTCTCTAATCAAAAAGTCTTCTTTTTTTATGGTATTACTATTTTAAACGGTGTGCTTAACAAGGTTATTAAGAATTTCCAAGATTGAAGTTCGATTTGAGAGGATAAAAGGAATTGAAATTAGAAAAAAATTAGATTAGATGACGATTAAACTCTGAGTATTTCTAATGACTGACGTCAGCATGATCAAATAACTTGATGAAAAACAGTACTAGAGTAGATACTATAATATATAAACTCTATAGTTATCCTCGACATCATGATTCATATTGGATCGCTCGTTTATATTTATCGAAATAGACCAGTTATGAATATTGGATTCCATATGTTGCTGATGTATATGTGTGAACAAATGTTATAAAATGTATTTCTTATCTTATGAAAGAGATGAATGAAAATAATTCAGTTCACAAAACTGGCCGTACTAAAAAAAAATGTCCGTGAATTTCATTTTCTTTTGCTTCTTCTCGATCTTTCTCTTCTAAGAATATATTTTTTTCTTATAATTCTTCGATATGCGGTACCATGACAGAAGAAGAGACAGCAACTTATTCAACTGCGTGAGTACCTAGATCAACATAGAAGTACTTTTGTTTTTGTGCAAGATATGTATTTCTTTGTAAGCAGTACCTTGATCTATTCCATCTTAAGTAAATAAGAACCATCGGGTGTGAGTGATAAATTTCAATTATCGATCATGTTCAATGGGTACAACTTCCAATATCAAATAAGATAATGTGATGTACATCAGATTCTGTACCTTCATTGATTTCGCCCACAGTTACTTCCTATGGCAACATATTTGCATGCATAGAGCAAATGATATGCTGCAGTACAACTCATGTAAAGGAAAACGACAACAAATCTGATTGAAAACGATTTTTTTCTGACTAATAATCGATTAAGATGGCACAATTTTTATCCGACTTTCTTATCTTGTTAGTTATTTTCGACAGTTTATGTGATTTTTAATGGGTTTTAATTGCTATGACCAATAAATGCGTTTTTCTCAAGTTTTCACTTACAAATTCTATTTTTTTATTATTTCTTCTGATTGTTCGCGTCAACAAATAGTAAGTGTAGTACTAGCCCTCTCTTGTATATACTTCCACATATGACAGTAATTCACACTCACTCACGTAAGCTACAACGTCTATAACTTATATTAAAATCGTACTGTTTTAATCGATTAGTAGTTTTAAGAACGTCTGAGTGTGAATGTGGAGTATAGATGTGGGGTGTGGTTGTGAGTGTGGATTTATTTTAACGCCATTCACACCACCACACCGACACCCATCTTCAAACATTTTCATCCCACACGGAACCCTGTTGTATAGATACACAAGAATTAGAAAAAGAAGAATGACAAGTTACTCAATAGACCATGATATTTGATAGAATCGATTTCTATATTTTTCCATCATATGTCAATTACATAGTAGCCAGATGTTCTGATTTTCAACATTTTTTTCTGATGACTTTTTGGTTTTCCGGATTGTTAAGTTGGATTCTTCTTTCTGAACTGAGCAACTGATCTGCAGATACAGCAAGGTTTCCAGCTTTGAGCATGTTTAATTGTCTCTTTTGTATTTAATCTTTCCTTGATTTTTCATATCCTTCGATACCGACTTGTTGATTAATAGTATGTCGTCGCAAGCAAGAGTGTGATGCGCACATCCATGAACCGTTGCTGCAGACTCATTCATAATATTGAAAAGATTCAAAGTTCAGTTTGTTTGATTGAGAAGAAAACGTTTGAACTCATGTCTTGTAAAGTGTATTTAATTTTGCAGTAAATATCGCTCGTGTTATTATGTTAATCATTTTCGTAGCTTGGACGAAAAAGTCCACAAAATATTGCTTTTCGACCATCAGCAAATTTTGACTTTCTCATGATATTAGCAATCTTACTTCACCAAAGGTATAAAGTTCTTTTAGTTTAAGAAAAAATCTGCTGTGTGGACACAAAATATTTCATAACAATCGAAAGTAACTCAAATAACGGCTGAGTTGTGTTAAGCAAGTTTGAACAATCGCTTTTGTCGAAACGTCATATTGACTTTATCCGACGATTTCCAATAGGACGGAACTCCAGCATGATGGATGTGAGTGAAAGTCTTACCGTTCCCCGCGAATATCCACTCCCACATCCCACATCGCACATCTACACCCACACCTTCTTCTTTTCTACGTGAAATGTGAGGTAAGGATGAAACAGAATTGAATTTTTTTAAAGAGCTACTGCAAGCACCTTCTTGAACCATTATTAGGTAAGGCTAAGATAAAATAGAAACATTGTGTATAACTATCGATGGGCTACTTAGAAACATCAAATAAACGAATTTTGAATATGCCGTTAGGTCTGAAAACATCATTAACGCAGTTACCTATTTTCGTTTGTCGCTATTCAAAATAATAATCATACAAGAAAAACTTTGTCTATCTAGGTGAGAAATAACATCACACTTTCTTTGTATTGACAGAGCTGTCAACAACGCTCGCATTTGTAGACATGAGTCATGATATGTCGACTATTTATTACCCCTTCAAGTGGTTCGATGTACCCATGGACAATGCAATGGGTAATTGAGGGTGTGGATGTGGAGG